AAGAAGTTAGATATTTATAATAGATATAGCAAAACATGCACAAGTGATAATATTAAAAATCTGTTGTTCATTATTATTATTATTATTATTATTATTATTATTATTATTATTAGTAGTAGTAGTAGTAGCTGTACTATCGTGAATTAAAACACGAGTTTAATAAATTATTCACAGTCTTACTTGGATAAAAATAGTATTGTAGTCTAATTACATAGGAAATAGGACATAGGTGAACGAAGGCAACATACCAGAAGTGTAAAGACTAAATTTTTAAAATATAGTGAACATGAATTACTGAAGAATCTCAATTATAGAACAAAAATCACTATTAACGTATATATATATATATATATATATATATATATATATATATATATATATATATATATATATATATATATATATATATATATATATATATATATATATATATATATATATATATAAGACCACAAATTGCACGGGTAGTAGGTCACTTTAATTTTTTCTGAATGATGGTATTATATTTCCTATCCAGCAGTACGATTCACTAAACTGAACAAAATAGACAACGTATTTGTCTACCTATTTCAACATAAAGATTATCAGTAGAGACAAATGTTATCACCAGTATCAATACACATGGACAAACATAGACAAGAATTCGACTGGATAAGAATCGGATTTCTAAAATGGAGAAACTTTTAAATTCCCGGGAAATTTCTAGAAGTTTGATATCCAGTTTGACTGGTAAATAATAGGCGCATCAGCAAGAATCTATTATATCAATTCATTTAGAAGAATTCAATTATCTATAGAGTCAGACAAAAACCGAGAAATACAGTTAATATAAATGCCAGTGCAAATTGACCAAGCTTTTCTGGATCGAATCTTGTTTGCAGTAATAAAATTGGAAGATATACTTGTTGACAAAATGTGAATATTATTTCAAATTTTAATGATTAGGATTATTTTGATATTGAAATCTTGAGTCGACAATGATCAGTCTTAGTTGGCATATGTGCAACCTGTACAAACTACCTCGATATAGTCATTATGTCACACGTTTATATAGAACAAATGGGTTTTGATTAACAGTAGAATCTAGGACAAGCTTTTTGTCTTGTTTGAGACTCGTCAGCTAAGTGTGAACTAAAACAATGCAAAATGAGTGAAAATTCACATCTGCTGCACAATTGAGTAACCACTTGAAATTAATGGCTCTGTGGATAACGTGTTAGCATTCGTAGTGTAAGGTACTAGATTCGAATCCTAGACTGAAATCAACCGTGGGGTGTTGGTATGCATAACTGACTTGTCTCAAATAAGTCGAAACGGAGCATTATGGATGCTATTAATAGTCACATCTCATCTCTTCTACATAATTCTATGAATATTGTTGGACACCGTACACTTGATTAAAAGGATCAAAATTTGTGTTAAGGTTTAGTGGGATAACGGTGGTTAATTAAATATTTCCTAATAAAATGAAACATTATTTTCTGTAAAGCAACAAATAATTGAATTGATTCAAATGGTAGATCATCATTTACTAGTCTACTGAATTGCTTTTACTCTATGTAGTCACTGTCCAAACTTTAGTCGATATTGCGAATGCAGACAATTTCCCGCTGTGCTAGGTAAATGTAAGTAGTCGGTAGGAGTTTCTGGATACAAGGTTTAAGGTATGATCATTTCGTCCTAGTATGGGGCTCTTCAGTAGCAGCATTTACGATCCCGCGCATAGGATTCGAACTCAGGATCCTCGATCTCGCTGCATCGTAGATTGATTGAAGTTAGACAATAACAGCATTCGATACCGGTTCAGTGATTTACGTACATTAGTTTTTCAGTAATCAGATGCAAAGTCTTAGATATTAAGTCATTTATACTTTAGTTCAATAGTAAGGTATCGTTTTAGCTAATTCAAACTAAGTTCCGTAAAATATCATGTGGATATTACTACAGTGAATCGTAGTGAAAAGTAGTTTTACGGAGGCATCATTCGTTGAATATGAAAAATATATATTGAGAAGAATAAGCGGAATAACTGTTAGCGTGTGTGTATGATATTCGGATTTTGTGTATAGATAACTATCTTCTTCTCAATGTTCAATGAAAGTATATTATCTAGCATTTCCTAGCATTCATTTAATGTGTGGTTACTGCGCATAAGATTTCAATTTTCAATGATGACTTCATTTTAATAATCTTAAGCTATTTACATATTTCTTCTCTGAATACGTCAGTGTAGCTCATCTAGATTTGCTGGATAAAAAAATAAAGTGAAAGATAATTTAAAATGAAATGCTCATACATGCAAAATGCATTCACTAAATGAATGGTAAAATGTTAGATATTACACACGTATTGAAAATAGAAAAGCAGATATCTACAAATTCATAAACCCGAATCCTATCTCTGAATATTCGAATATTAGAAAAATAAGAATGCTAATCGATCACTGATATAGAATGATACAATGTGGCCTATTGATGGACGTTCATAAGATTAAGTTATTGACTTAAGATCTTATTAGATTTAAACTCAAAGCTAAAAACAAAAACCAGAATAATAGACCTTTTGTCTAATAAAATAACATAAACATTTACAACAATTTACGAAAAATGAACTTTATTAGATGTCAAAAACGATTGCATGAAATCAGTTTTTTGAATCTCTCATTATTTAATGAATAACGAAGTGTCCAACTGTTAGGCTTCTACAACTTATCAGTGTAATGAACCTAAGGGTTAACATCGCAGTGTATAAAATATGCATACAATAATCAAGTATTTTAGGTTGAGAAAATGTGAAGAGGTAAAAATATTTTTGAAAACCTTTAAATTAGAGTAATAAATCAGATCTGTAGTAAATGGAGGAGGAGGTGGATTGGATTCAACACACTATCTATACAGATAATTCTGGTTTCAATTTGTAGTTAATTAAAAATCTTTCGAATATTAAGTAAGTAAGAGTTCTAGGTATAGTGCTCTGATTTTTATTTGCCTAACCATAAATAATATAAAAGAAAACTTAAATAATACTGTGATATATGCTACATAAATTGATAGAAATAGTATATAACGCGAGTCAGAAATAGAATGTCTGTCAGCAGAAGATTGAGAAGATCAATAAGAGAAGAACAGGAACAAAAAGCAATTGGTATGATAATGCAGGAACAATGAAGTCGGAAACAACTAATGAACATTTTACAAATAAAGTATTACAGCATGGTTTTTCTACTTTAACAAGTAACTCTGTAATTTTTTTGTGCTAAATATAATCGGTTGTTGTCACCTGTGTTCTCTGTCACTATAATATAAAATGCCGGTGTACCGACTTTATTTTATTCAACTGTTATTCATATTTTTTATATTTCTTGAAGCATATCATACATCAACACTTACATGAATAGTATTGTAGTAAACAAGAACACCAATGGGGACAATCGAATGCATTTAACACAAAATTACAGGACTTGTTAATAAAATCTAACAATCATAAAGTAAATGCTTAATTTGCAAAATCTCCACCAATTGTCTCAAAATGACTCAGACTTCATTGTTCTTGCATTTTCATACAAATTGCATCATGTATCCATTCTTTACTGTTCGATCCTCTTGTCTCTCTGCTGCCTGACATTCTTTACACGTCTAACATCATATACTACTTATGTCAATATAAATAGCACACAACACAGTATCAGAAGGGGTTTTGTGGAGATTGTAGTAATTTTAATAGGATGAAACGGCCGTTTCATCCTACTGTGGGACTCCTAGGCCGTCCAGTGCTTCCAGGTTTTCCATGGTAGTCTAGCTTCAATCGACTAATGATCCCAACTATTGAACTTACATGATTATTATTTCATACACATTGTTCCCTTTACTATCTTAAATACAGCAAAGTTTTCAACTTTGTTTTTATTTAAACTAAGCTTTCTTCTCTTCACTAACTGGGTGTCATTCTTTATGATTGTTGTTGTTAATCAATGAAGTTTTTTTCAAATCGAATAATTTTCACTTGGTGTTTTTATTTATGTCTATAGAAAATTCACTTTTTTAAAATTTCCATTCATTTATAATCAATTAACTAAGAATTTATTCAATATGCCTAAATAAACACAATAATGACATGGAAACACTGTTGAAAAGCATCCATTCATTCGTATATACATACATATAGATCGACGTACTCATACTTATTATGAGCCATTTGACTGACCAATGAGATTTATAAATGTGTTGTAAAATAACCGCTATGTAATATGGTAACTATGCCTATCTAATAAAATTATTTAATCATGTTTCTATATTTCATTTATTTGTCTGAACAGAATCATCTTTATCTATTTTATTATGATTTTATATGTGTCAAAATGAATGAACATTATGATGGATGAAATACAATGAAATTGATTCATTGTTGAAATTCCAACTTGTGACTTATATATATACATAATCCTGGTAATAAACGAGAGAAAAGATACAATAACTGATATATATATATATATATATATATATATATATATATATATATATATATATATATATATATATATATATATATATATATATATATATATGAAAGAATTCTAACCAAATTCTATTAGTGTTTACTATTCTCTTGGAATTCCTTATCATTTGTGAATAAGCTTAATAGTAGAATAGAATTTTCGGTGAATACTTAAAAGAATATATACATACTTAACAAAAAAAAGCACATTATTTGAGTACTGTGCTTTTTTAAACAATCAATTTGTTTTTATCTATAACAGTTTGTGTATCTGTATACTCTTACAGATATGTTTATATGTTATTGTTTGTCAATGGAAGCTAAGTTATTACTTTAATACACCCACATATTTGTAATCATAATATCTAAGTCATAATAATAATTGTTAAGGTGTATTGAGCCTGAATAATCTTTCTACCTATCAACAATCTGTGTGTAAGTATGTATATGTATATATATATATACATATATGTGTGTACGTAAATGTATGTCTTTATATATATATAGTTGAATGTTTGCATATGTCTAATTGAAATAATATTGAGTAATAAAAACAATGTACCTTTAAAAAAGAACACCTCACTTTAATTGTGAATTCTTGACAAATGTACTCAATCATTATTGAATATCATCAGTTCAATTTAGGTTCTATAATAAATGGAATTCACTACTATTTTACTCTACTAACCAATGTTCTATGATATTTACAGACTATTAACCAATAATTCCATATCAGAATTTACTTTTTCTTTTTTTTTGGAAGAAAAACATACGTCTTAGCAACTATTTAAATTAAACAAAAATAAAGTAATAGTTAGTGACTTTTCTTGTGTTTTTTTCCCTCTCCCTCTTTCTCTGTGTCTGTTACTCATTTTGATTATTGAAACTCATTTTAATGACGTTGAGGAATTATATTTGTGGATTATAAACAATAAATTCATTGGATTACTGAAATACTACTAATATTGTCGTTATTATTAATATTATAACGTATTATTCTCATCCATAATTAAATGCTTATCATGACAAGGAGAATGTAAACATAATGTTTAAACATTTAAACAATAGTGACTATTTGGAATAATTATGACAGATCAGGGATATATTATGTTATTCTCACAATATTCATTATTGACATTATCATCATATATTAATATTATTAATGTTATTATTACTATTACTATTATAAGTAGTACATATCATTCAACTATATCAGCGACATGGATTTGTTTAAGTCGTGAACAATTAATTGCATTATCAAATTCAAAAAATACTTATCGTTTTGAAGCGGAAATTATTCAATTAGATAAACCATCAGAATTTATAAAAAAACATACTACTGATAATGTTCATAATATTGGTTTCAATGCATTTGTTAAAATAATTAAAATTTTAAAACAACCACAAATAAGTAATGTATCGAATTATCTTCAAATTAATGAATTAGTTTATGTGAATCAAATTAAATCAAAAGATTTACATGATTTATCTATAAGAGATATATCAGTTCACATGAATATTGATAATGATAATGAAAAATGTTTACCAAAATTAGAAAGAGGTAAAACTTATGAATGGATTACATATGCTCCAGAAAATACTAATATATTACATAATATGGAACAAAAACAATTGATCTTAATGCCTGGTGGTATTTTTCCATTGTTATCACATCAATCTCAAATACAATTGGAATCAAATAATATTAATAATTTAAAAAGTAGTAAGTAATTACTATATTTTTTTTTGATCATATGAAGTTGAAGTCTTCCAAATAATTCAAAGATAGGGTACCCTTGCTGAATTAAATGAGACAATAATTTAGCCTATATATATATCAGAAGGGGTTTTGTGGAGATTGTAGTAATTTCAACAGTTGAGATCATGAGTCAATTGTAGTTAGACCACCATGGAAACTCATGATCTTAAGTGTTAAAATTACTACAATCTTCACAAAACCCCTTCTCATACTAATCAACATATGTTTACTAGTGACTGGCTTCAAGAGGTGTATTCTGGAGTTCTAGTGAGAACCAATGACCAGTGGAGTTCAATCGGGTCAGTTGTGAAAAAGTAACTCACTGATGACAGTGACGGATGTGTCGCTGAATTTCGTGGGTTGGTTAAAGTTAGACATCAACACTGTTAAATGCCGGTTCAGTGGTCAAGTTGCTTTAGCGCCTGGCGGGAGACTGATAGGTCTTGGGTTCGAATCACTCTAGGCGGGTTCGTGGATACGCACTGCTGAGGAGTCCCATAATAGGATGAAACGGCCGTTCAGTGCTTCCAGATTTTCCATGGTGTTCTAACTTCACTTGACTCAGTTGACTTAGCCTTGTTACAGTCACTTCGAATAATACTAGACCGTATAGATTAGAATAACAGATGCAGCCAAGTTTCTTTCTTTTGATGGTTATAGGTAATTGTTATGTTCTTAGCTACACGATTATCACAAAATACAATTGCCAATTCAGATACGTTGACTTATACGACCAAACTAATAACGCATACACCAGTAATGGGCATCCTACAGTTCATATTAGTCCTTTTACTGCCTAACTCTGCCTGTTAAGTTCAGAACGACAGTCTCTGTCTCCGCAATACGAATGATATATTTCAAACATATTGGGTTTATATACAAACAAATCATGCCACATCACCCATAAAATAGAAAATAACATTGGTACAAGATCAAGCCAAAAGTGGCTGTGCTTGTAAGAAACTGTGACTAATAGAATAGTAAATCATATAACAGTAACCAATAGGTCAAATAAAAGATTATAATGAAAGGAATATGAATATACATATAATATAGTTACTTAATAGTCGTACAATAAGAATATTTGTATCATATTAGTCTATAAATAATTACTAGTGGTTACCACTTATTGATTCTCGTTCGGATATAAAAAAACAATATCTTAGTAATTAGCGTCACTCTACATTGAACGTAGATTCAACACAATGTTCTTTCTATTCATTATATATGTATATATTATTATTGAAACGAACGATGTATAACATTAAAGTAATCCTGTACATTAATCAGTCAATCAGTTGATAAGTCAATTTATATCCATAATATTTTTATCTGTATATAATTGGTTTTCCGCATATAGTCTTCAACAGTTAATTTCATCAACTGATATACTGTTGAATATGAATTGCAGTTAATAATGAACTAAATAAAGTTTAAACTGTGAAATATAAATTTCAAAGTAAGCGATCATGAAGCATCGTGTTCTCTATGAAACACAAATGACTCCGCGTTGAGGTCCTTATTAGAGTCATAAGTGTACATTGGTTTTCAAAGGCAATCCCTATACTGATGATTAACATGTGCGCTCACTAGTGACTAACTTCGTGAAGAAATTCTCGGAGTTCTAGTGAGAAGCCGTGACCAGTGGAGCTAATCCGTGGTGGGTAGAGACAGGTATCTTCCTCAGTACAATGGGATATGGTCGCGTAATTTCGTGGATTGGTTGAGGTTAGACATTAACACCACTGAATGCCGGCTCAGTGTTCCAGTAGGTTAAGCGTTCGCGTGCAAGACTGAAGGCTCTGGGTTGTTAGATCATTACTGAGAGCCTGAAGGTACTGGACAGCCATTTTATCTTAGTATGAGACTCCTCAAAAATATACATCAACGATCCTGCACGCAAGACTGGAACCCAAAACCTTCGATTTCACCTGAATGTGGGGTGATGAAAAATAACCTTAGAGATATTCATTCTATTGGTAAACAACGTTTGTAACTGTACATAATTCGATTAAGATTAACCGTAACCAATCGATCGATCAGAATGTCTCCCTCTTATAAAGCGAAATAATTTACAAGTATAGTAGTGAATCAATTGTTTTGAACGTTTCAATTGATTTTCCAACATTAAACACTCATAGGTACTAAAAAGTTGCAGTTCAAAATAATTTTATTATTATTACTACTGAACATATTTTTACTCCGACATTTTTCAAATAACAATCAAATGATCAGAAGAAATGTAAATTTATGTAAATATTATTTTTAATAATTGTAAGAATACTTTTATTGGTCTCATAATTAAAAGTGGTCGGTAGGAAATCCTGAATCCAGGTGTCATGCTTAATTACAATCGTCAACAAGGTGTACGCATAATGTTTAAGGGACTGATACTCTGTCTGAGATTTCAATTAAATGTTTGGTTAAAATGAATCAGTCATAGTTTGAGAACCTTACATCAGTCATTATTTTATCAACATTTATTATTTACTCAGTAGTAATGGTTTAATGATAAGAGGGTTCTGATGCAACGATGTGAGGGTGAGGATTGGTAAAGTAAGGACAGAATTCCTACAGTTGAAGGAAATATTGGACTCAAAACAACTGTCAACCAAGATCAAAATGAGAATTTTCAATACGAATGTCAAGACAGTTCTACTGACGGAGCTGAAACTTGAAGAACTACTATAACCATCATCAAGAAGGTACAAGTATTTTTACACAAGATACTCAATATCCGTTGACCGGATACCTTCAGTAACAATCTACTATGGGAGAGGACAAACCAGCTCCCAACTGAGGTGGAAATTATGAAAATACGTTAGAAGTGGATAAGATATACATAACAGAAATCATCAAACTACATCACGAGGCAGGAGCTAAATTGGAATCGTGATGGCAAACGGAAAAGAAGCAGAACAAAGAATACACTCCTTTGGGAATTAGAATCAGACATCAAAATTTCGAGTAGCAACTGGAAACAACTGTAAAGGATTGTCTGTTACAGAGTTGGATAGAGAATGCTGGTGTGCGGCTTGGTTCCTACATGAGGGGTAAAAAGCCTAAGTAGTGCAGTGAACGAAAACATAAGTACGGTAAATCAATGTATTATTTTAATGAGCAGTCAAAAAGTAGATTTGTAAGATATGAAAATAATATATTAAATACATCATTTGCATATCTTCCCTCAGTTGTTTTTTACATACTTCATTATTCTTCAGATCCTGTTGTTGCCCTTTATTTCCCTTCCTCTTCTTATTTCACTGCTCTGCTAGTGAATATTCTATTCCCAATTCCTGCCACATACAAACTATGTATATTCGCATAAGTAGTGGTGCACACTACAGTAGTAGTAGCCGATGTCATGTTGAATAGATCATGGTGTTAATTGTTCCCTTTTTTTGTCTATATTTATGCATGCTAGACTTTATGCTAAAAGGCTTATTACCATGATGTACTTTGCTTCATAAATGGTGTTTGTAAAACGTTGGAGAGAAGCTACAGATTTAAGACTAGTGCTGGTTGTATCTAATCAATAAAGTATAATGTTGACCTATGTTTTTTATGGTAATCGAGTGTACTCCGTCCAGAGAAATTACCTTAAAAGGTGTTCAAATTGAGAGCAACAATCAATAGTACTAGTATAGTTAGACAATCCAGCCCCTCCTTAGTAAATCATATTATGTATTTTATTTTAAGCGGTGGATTTTATCCGACTAATTAAGTATCACATAGCCTACATTTAAATCTTCATTCCAACTTCTTTCAACTATTTAATTTAATTAGACCATATGATTTTGAAAAGAAAGAAGGAAATAGTCAGAACTTACTTAATAAAACTGATGGTATCACAAGAGTCACAAAGAACATCTATTTGAATAACTTGGGATTGATTGATGTGCTTTTGTAATCCAGTTGTTAGAGCCGTAATGTAATGATTATCTGTGTCTACTCTCACCCTCCATTTCTAGTCTGGTTGACTTTTTATTTTTATATATAAATGTTCTTAAACAGTACAATGTATTGAGGTAATAATAATCGTCTTTTAATTACACTATCCAAATATAATAATAAGTATTATTATTACATAATTATCATAATGTAATCGACGAGAACACTGGTGGGGGACAATCAATTGTATTTAAATGTAAAATTACAGAGTTAATTGGTAAAATGTTCATCAACTGTCTCAGACTTTATTGTTCTTTGATTTCCATATCAATTACTCTCTGGTCCCATTATTTTCTATTCAATCTTCCCAACGTTTTGATGCCAGGCATTCCACTTTCGATTAGTGTTACATATTACCTATGTCTATCAACATGAGTAACACACACCACAATAGTACACTTAACCAATACTCACATCAATGTCGTTTTCGTACTATATTAGATAAGTGAAGATACCAGACTTATTTTCTAAAAAAACGACGTTACCATAGTGACTAGAATAACATATATTGTAGTCAGAAATCATGAAGCGTTTATCATAAAAGAATTATAATTTCCTTACGTTTACAATTATCTGAATATATATTTGCAGGGAAATACTAGTTTTATTAATTTTTAATAAACTTATGTAGGCCACTCCCCATAGTTGTTATGCCGAGAAGTCAGACGTATTAAATAAGTTTATCGTTTCACCATCGTACAATAATACTGGAAATGTCTAAAAACCGGTTGTTTATTATATGTTTATTATATTGTCCTAATGAAGAGAATATCAATAAAATAATTAATTAAGTAATTAGAATAAATGAATTCATATATTAGCGTGAAAATTACCCATCTAATAACTGATTGTAGGATCAATTATTATTTAATAATAATTATGTTGCTATGTTATTGAAATAAAAAAACTTTAGATTATCGTACTAAGAATACTATACACAATAAATAAATTCAATGTATTATTATATTTTAATTGAGATCATGAATCGATCGATATTAGGCCACCATTGAAAA